GAGATCACACGCACCGCACGGCACACCCACGCACGCAACGCCCACACCACACACGCACGCACGCACGCACGCACGCAGCGCACGCACACACAACACGCACGCACACACACGCACCACACATGCACACACGACACGCACACACGCACACACACGCACACACACACCAACATGCACGCCACGCAACACACCACACACCACACACGCACGCACACACACGCGCGCACACACACACACACACACACACGCACGCACGCACACACACACGCTCACGCACACACACGCCCGCACACACACACGCTCACACGAATGGATACTTATTATTATTATTATCGTCATCATTAATATTATTACTATTATTACTATTATTACTATTAATATTATTATTATTATTATTAATATTATTAATATTATTATTATCATTATTACGCACCTGATGATATTACGCGGCATATCCCCCTACACGTACCTATCGTGGCCACGATTGTGCCGACGTAGTAAAATGAACCGGAGAAGTCCCAGCGTGGTCTCCTATCCAAGATGCCCTGGTCGCTGGCGTTTCCGTGCGCGTGGAGCAAGATAACGAGATCGGAGTAGTTCACCTCCGGGTAGAGTGCGATGAAGTGAGACAGCGTGCGGTTGTACTCGGTCCCCGACTTGCTCTCGGTCGTGCTCTCCAGCCAGGAGAACATCAGGGCTCCGCACACCATGTAGATGAGGATGACGACGGCTAGAAGAGCGAAGCGCGTGTTGTCTTCGCCGAAGTGCACCTTGCTGCAGCCTCGCGGTACGGCCATCGTCGGCACAGTACGACGTCTTGGACAGCATGCGGGGTGAGAAAGCGCTGACGCTGACGCTGTCGCTGACGATGTCGCTGACGCTGACGCTGACGCTGTCGATGACGCTGACGCTGACGCTGACGCTGTCGATGACGATGTCGGTGACGCGGACGCGACGCTGACGCGGACGCTGACGCGGACGCTGACGTGGATGCTGACGCTGACGCTGGGGCGAGCGACCGAGCACCGATGCTGCGACGCGACCGGCGCGTACGTACGACCGTCACGACGAAGGCACGGCAAAACAGTTAATTCGGCTCCTATGCCCGCACACAGATGCTGCTGCCGCGACCAGCACGCATGTATACGACAGTCACGAACGCACGGCAAAACAGTTAATGCTACTCGTCTGCCCGCGGCAGCTGTGGAGTCTGTTTTTCATGCGACTATCTCTTTCGCTGCTCGGACAATGACGGCAACAGAGATATAGATCCTCTCCACAATGCTCTCAGTCGAGCGCACACACGCGCGTGCATTACCTAGACATTTCTAGTTCGCAGCTGCGTTGCTTCCGCCTACGCTAAAACTCTTGGGCACACTGCCTGACGATGGATCAGCGAGCCAGCGGCAAGTAATCGTTAGGCGTTAGTGCCGCGCGTAATCGCGTAGTCAACTCGTAGTCAACTAGTAGTAGCACATCTTGTCATTATTCACCCTTGACTAATATTATAATTTAGGATGTATCATGGAATACCACAGATCGGAGTTGTGTTCAGCCAAATCAATATTATTTCGATACTTCGCTTTACACATATCCTCTTGGTCCCCCGATGGGACATAAGGCCGTAAATTTCTTTTAATACACGCGCATCAAACAGTTTAAACACGATTACGACACTAATTATTAACCTATTCTCCGACTTCTCCATCACACAAAGTACGTATACTCCTATTATCAGGGGGTTAATAATGGCAAAGGAGTTTGCCACGTATTCGGTACTGATTTAACTACATTTTGTCGTACGAGTTTGATGTAAATAAAAATTAAAATGTATACAAACATGAGCTTAATTCTTCTGTTCACTGGTTCTATTCTATCTTCTTCTTCTATTCTAACGTCTTCTATTCATTATTAACCCCTGCTATTATCAGAGGGTTAATAATAACAAATGTCGACAATTTGTCATTATTAACCCCTGCTATTATGCTATACTCATGCTCACACGCATCACCCTTAACTGTCTCTCTATTCCTATAGAAACCGTCCGTAAGCTACCGATTAACAACTTAATGTTAAAGCACTCGCAATGTTCAGGCTTGTCAGGCAAACTCACAACTGCATATAATTTTTTGACATTTCCTAGATAATTGGGTAGTAGTTTTATTCATTTTTTCTTTATGTTAAATGACTCGCAATGTTTAGAGTAAGTCTCCATTTCAGATGCCAATAAGTCGGCTCGTCTACCATTCTATTAAAAAGCAACTCTCGGAAAGCCGCAAGGTTCTGTGCCGTTTGACAATGAACCTAATTTTCCTAGTATTCTAGCTTCTAAAACTACAGGTGTAAGAAATAGGTCTACTAAGTTAGGTATCGAATAGGTCTAAGAAAGGTAGAGAGAGATAAATAGATAGATAGATATATAAATAGATAGATAGCCGCCCACCCACTAACCCACATTTTACGACTTTACTCAACCACCCACACACTCACCCACCCACCCACTCTAACTCACCTTTTACGACTTTACTTAACCACCCACTCACCGACCCACCCACCTACCCACCCCCACTCAACCACCCAACAGCCATCCACCCACCCACTCTAACCCAGCTTTTAATACTTCACTACAGTGACTGCGAGCGTCGGCACGCACGCACGCCACGCACGCACGCACGCACACACGCCGCGCACACGCACGCACACACACGCCACACACACACACAACACACACGCACACACGGCACAACACGCAGCACGCACCCACACATGCACGCACGCACACCGGCACGACACACAACGGCCATCCGCACACACAAACCCCCACGCGCCGCCACACCACACACACACAACACGCGCACGCACGCACACGACACACGCTCACGAACAACAGCACCCCAGTCACACGACACACGCGCACGGACGCACACACACACGCTCACTGCACACACAACGCCCGCACACACACGGCACGCTCACCACGAATGGATACTTATATTTTATATCGTCATCAATTAATAATTCATACTATTATTACTATTAATTACTATTAATAATTATATATTATTATTAATTAATATTAATATTATTATTATGCATTATTACGCACTCGCTGATGATAATACGCGGCATATGCCGGCCTAACACGTACCTATGGTGCGCACGATTGTGCGAACGTGTAAAATGAACCCGGGAGAGGAGTCCGCAGCGTGGTCTCCTATCCAAGATGCCGCTGGTCGCTGGCGTTTCCGTGCGTGGAGGCAAGATAACGAGATCGGAAGTAGTTCACGCTCCGTAGACGTGGGCGAGGGAAGTTGAGATCAGCGTGCGGTTGTACTCGATCGCCGCGACTCTGCTCTCGCGTGCTCTCCAGGCCAGGAGAACATCAGGGCTCTGCGCACACCATGTAGATGAGATGACGACGGCTAGAAGAGCGAAGCGCGTGCTTGTCCTTCGCCCGTAAGTGCAGCCTTGCGCAGGCCTCGCGTACGGCATGGCGTCGGGCACAGTACGACGTCCTTGACAGCATGCGGTGAGAAAGCGCTGAAGCTGACGCCCTGTTCGCTGACGATAGTGCGCCTGGAGTCTGACGTCTGACCGCTGTCGATGACGAATGTCGTTGACCGGCGGACGCGACGGCTGACGCGACGCTGCGGAGTAGTGCGGACGCTGACGTGGATGCTGGACGGCTGACGCTGACCGCTGGGCGAGCGACCGAGCACCGATGCTGCGCACGCCGGACCGGAGCGGTACGTACACCGTCACGAGAGCACGGCAAAACAGTTAATTCGCCCTCGCTATGGCCGCGCCACAGAAGCAGATGCGCTGCCCAGCCGGGGGGACCCAGCACGTCATGTATACGACACGTAGCACGCACGCACCGGCAAAACAGTTAATGCGTCTCTACGGCGTCCTGCCCGCGGCAAGCTGTGAGTCTGTTTTTCATGCGCTCATCTCTTCGCTGGCTCGACAAAGACGGCAACAAGATATAGATCCTCTCCATCAATGCTCTCAGTCGATCGCACACAGCGCGCGGCATTACCTAAGACCATTTCTAGTGTCGCAGCTGCGTTGCTTCAGCCTACGCTAAAACTCTTGCAACACTGCATGACGATGGATGCAGCGAGGCCAGCGGCAAGTAATCGTTAGGCTGTTAGTGCGCCGGCGCGTAATCGCGTAGTCAACTCGTATCAACTAGCTAGTAGGCGCAACATCCACTCATAGCGCATAAATATAACTATAGTATATATATATATATATCATATTTACTAACGCGACTTCTCTCTACGTTGTTCGGCAGAGTTTAGGCTCGCTGTTGCCCTGTGTCGCGGTATACACAACGTAAACGTTCTATTCGCGAGAGGTGAACCCTACACGAGGGGCTACTACTGATTACATCGCATAAGATGCGAAGCGCATTATACAAGGACTGACGCGCGTGTGTGATTGTGAGGAACGCGCGCTCGAGCTAGCCATGTAATGACGATGAAAGAACTTGCCGCGCCTGCCACGATGACGCTACAGCGTACGCACTAGCGCATGCGCCATGTTTAGGCTTCGATGCTCGGGATGTCTTATCCCTTCATCCTTCAGTCGACCGATTTGCCGGCGCGTATGCCCGTAGGAAGGGGGGGGGGGGGGGGGCGCCTGCCCCCAATAGTTTATAGAAATTTGTTTAAGTTATTAATATACAGCACATATTGCACATGTAAACAATTTGCCGAGATTTGGCAATGCCATGCAGAAGACACGAGAAAGCTCGATTTCAATATGACCAAATCAAATATTTCTATACTTCCAGCAGCCCAATAACCGCCGTCTCGGCGCTGGTACGGTGCATCGCAGGACTCGCAACGCGGCCGATACACCATTGCCTCCCCCCAATTGTGATGATAACCTCCTACCGGGCCGCGCCGTTGTGGATATTACATCGCTACATTGAGGGATCGAGAGGGAACGGCTCAGTGCTGATGACGGTATCATTAAAATGGTTAAGACCGGTCATAAATGATTGCGAACGGGGTGTAAAGTGGCACTCAATCTCTCTCTCTCGGGTCAGCGCCCTCTACCTCGTCTCGACATTTGGGTCTCTCTCGTCAATCTCCGTCTTCTCTCTCTCTCTCTCTCACGAGGCGCGCTCTCTCACCTCGTTCTCTCTCGTCGTCCACTCTCGCTTCCGCTCCTCTTCGCTCTCCTCTCTCTCAGTCACTCTTTCTCTCTCTCTTTGCGCTCTCGGTCTCGCCCTCACACGCCCCCGACTCTCCGATCTCCCCGCGCCCGCCCGCTCTCTCCGCTCCTCTCTTGCTCTCCTCTCGTCTCGTGCCGTCCGCTCTCATCCCTCTCTCGCGTCTCTCTCCCTCCTCTCGTCTCTCGTGCTCCGTCGTTTCTCTCCTCGTCTCTAGCAGGTATCTCTCTCGCTCTCTCTCTCTCTCGCCGTCTCGCGCTCCGTCCCTCTCCAGGATCTGCTCGATCTCCCTCTCATTTTTCTCTCTCGCGTCTTTTCGCTCTCTCTCCCTTCCGTCGTCTCTCTCTCTCTCTCCTCGTCTCTCTCTCTCTCTGCTCTCTCTCTAGTCCGCCCCCATCTCTCTCTCCTCGTCTCTCTCTCTCGTCTCTCCTCCTCATCTCTCTCTATCCTCTCTCTCCTCTCGTCCTCTCTCTCGTCGTCCGTCTAGTCGTCGACCGACCGGGCCCTGCCGCCCTCTCTCGGCTCGCAGCGCCAGATCGATCTCTCCCTCTCTCTGCTCTATTGCCCTCACTATTTCTTATAAGTTAACCAATCGTCTCTTTCCCTTTGCCCCCG